GCCACCACCAATAGATCAGGCTCTGCCTGTTGGATATACCGCATAGCTTCTTCCTGCACAGCCGGACTCCTGATGTCCCAGCCAGGCAGCGTCACTGGTTCCAAGAAGGTCCATCCTCGGCTGAATGCGATCTGGCTGACCATACACGACCATGTAAAGATCTCCAGGATCCGCCAACGTTGTCTCTTCGGTGGTCGAGGGATCCTTGTCCGGTCGGCCATCAAACATTGGCGTGCAGCAGTGTCTCGGCTTGCTGCTTCCGAAATCTCTTTGGTCGCTGCCAGAAGTCTTCTTCGTTGACCTTTTGTCAGCAGTTCATCACTGGCGCTGCCAGAATCTGCCACCAAGGTGTCCTCCACCCTTGACCACTCTTCTTCCTCCGACTCCGAGGACTCTGATCCACTCTCTTCGACCTCCTCCATACAAGCTTCATCTCCAGTCTCATTTCCAGATGTCGTCTCATTGCCGGAGCTGGTGTCATTGCTATAGACACTGCCTTCTTGCGAGCTGTTGATCTCTGTGGTCATGATCTCCTTGAAGGCACCTGGTGGTAGGGCCAATTCATCCCACTTGGAGATGGCCTCATCTTCCATCATCTCTTGCCAACTGGCAGCGGCCGTGACAAAACTCTCATCTCCAACTTCCTGTAGCTCAGTAGGCTCTTCTTCATCCGTTTCGCTGTCCGGCTTCTCTTCAGCCACCTTCTCAAGCACTTCCTGAAGCAGTGCCATGCTGTAGGGGTCAAAAATGAGGCGTTCCCTCAACTTCCACAGTTCCGGTGTTCCCCACGCTTCCGCACTCAGCTCAGGTGCTGGCAAAATACTCAGCACTGGATGCCGGGAAGCAGACAGCTTCAATGGGCACCACAGTCCATCATTCACTGAAATGCCTTGCTTGGCGAAATCAATCTTCGCATTCCACCGAGCTAGCTCTGATGGTCCCACCAGAGCAGGGCAGTCATCAACACGACTGTCCTTGGTGGATTCAACCACGGCCAAGCGAAGCCAAGACAACATGCCACCGACCTGAACGGGGTACAGATGCGCCTCTGTGCTCAACACTGGTCGGCCTGCTCCAAAACGGAAAACTTCCTCATGCTCTACGGTGCTCCATCCCAGTCCTTGCTGCTTCAGCATCGTCTGGAATCGTCGATGCCAGCTGGCTCCAGCCACGGCAGTTCTGCAGCCGGTATCTAGGATGACCTCGCGGTCCTTCAGCAGGAGATTGGCTTCCTCCTTCTCCCGCTCGACCATCATAGCGCCGTGCATGTGGGAGTAGTAGAGAACCTTTCGAAGGCGGCACTTCTTGCAATCTGCCCAGTGAGCCGAGCCATTTGCTCCCCACTTCAAATCCTCATATGCATGAGGGCAGACTTCTTGTTCTCCTTGTGGTATGTCCGAAGCTTCCGACGGGCGCAGCCGTCCACGGCGATCCACACCGCCTTCATATAGAGCTCGTCGAAACTCCTCCATCTTCTTCTTCCGGACTGGGGCTGGAAGATCTGTGCTGCTTCCTGGTGGCGCGGCCACACTCGGGCTTGAGGCAGCACTTGAAGCTGATGCTCTGGACGGTGATGTCCTTGGAGGCGTTGCTGGCGCAGCCAGACTCTTGGGCAGCGGCCCTGACGAATAGCCTTCTGATCTCACCCGTCGCTCCGGTCGCTGAGTCCGGTGCAAATCTGAAGGCAGCGACCGACAGATCTCTTCCTCATGCTCCCTGAGCAGTTCCTTCAGCAACGTCTTCTTCTCCTCCTTGCTCAGGTTTGGGAGCAGAGCCAAGATCTCCTCCGGGTTCACAGACATTTCCTTGTCCTTCGTCTCTTCTTTCTTCCTCTTAGAAGCCTTCTTGTGATAGCGCTTCAGCTTCTTCACAGCTTCTTCTTCTTTCTCGCCCTTCTCAAGGGCCTCCAAGATGGCCTTCAGCCTCATCTTGTACTTGTTCTTCCTCACCTCTGCTTCTGGTGGCAAATCGGGCGGCTTCCATGCTGGGGGTTCTTCTGACTCTGAGCTTTCCACTGAGCTCGCTTCACTGTCGTATTCTCCCACCAGACTCCAGCCAGTGCCCCTGCTCACCATGAAAGTCCAGTTGACCTTGTTCACATGCATTCCTGGGGCATCATCTCCTCGGCTGGTGTTGGAGCCGACGCCATGGCTTGCCAACGAATCCGATGAGCTCTTCCCAGGTTCGTCCTTCATATCCGTGAACAAAGTTGAGGCCTCTTCTTTCACCCCTTTGGGTGTGCTGGCACTCGACCGAGGTTGATCTTCGCCACTCTTGACCTTTGGGCACTCCGGATCTCCTCTCCAGTGCCCATACCTCCGGCAGGAAGCGCACTGTGAATTCTTCTTCCGATCATCTGGCTTCCTCTGGTCCGGTGGCCGATCCTTCTTCTTGCCTTTCCCTTTTCCTCGGCCCTTATAGCCGCGTCCCTTACGCAGGTCTGCACTTTGCTGCTTGGCCCTCCAGCCGGCAGCATAGGCTTCTTTGAGGTCTCCCACGGACCAGTCATCATCATCCTCTTGCCAACGATCATGCCACCACTCTTCATCATCATAATCGTACTCGTTCTCGGCATGATAAGCCTCTTGCTCCAGGTCCTCATTGTCGAGGTCGTCATCTTCATCTTCCTCATCGTATGGCTCATCATCGCCATCTCCATAGTCAACTTCTTCCTTGACCTCGGCCAGATGAGTTCCATGCTTCTTCTTCCAACTCTTGTCCCCTCGGAAGGGCTTCTTGTAAGGCCGGGTCTTCAAGTTGCCATGGCTGCCGTGGTGATAGCTCTTGGCCTTCTCCTCAACATGCAGCTGGGCACAGCGAAAACGCATCACCCTCTCAATCTCATGGCTTCGGTACTTGCCACCGGCCGCGAAGAAGATCTCCATGCGCTCCTTCTTCGTCAGGCCTGCACGGGTCAGCATGCGCTGAGCGAAAGCCTTGTCGCTGATCACCGTGCCGCTGTCTTCTTTGAGATACTCTCCTTTGAGTCTCTTCAAAGTGGCAAGATACGCTGCCACTGAGAGGCCGGGAGCTCTTCTGTAGGTGTTGAACGCCTCTTGCTTCTCTTCGAAGCGTTCATCAGACCTCGTGCCGTAGGCATCTTCAAGCAGCTTCATCATCCGGTTCAAGCCACCGGGCTCGTTCATATCGGACACTTCAAGTTGGTTCACCACTTCTCGAGCCTCCCCGGCGGTGCTCAGGAACACCAACATGGCCAACTCCTCATCCGTGAGCCTGTAGAGCAGGCGTTGGGCTTCCAACGTCTTCTTCCAGTCTTTGAAATGCTCTCGCCTTCCTTTGAAGGTTTCGAGCTTCACCTGAGAGATGGAGGCCTTTCCTCTGTCTTGGGATCTCTTGGACTGGTCTCTCAGGAGGTCACGGATCACGGAAGTCTGCGCACTGCTTCCTCCATCCGACGGGGCACCACCGATGCTGCTTGCCGGAACTTCAGCACGGTGATCATCCTGCGCCCTTGGTCGGGACTTGGCCGCAGTCCGAGCCTTCGCCTTTGGCCTAGCACTTTCCTCCCTTCCAGGTCGCCGCCTGCTGGGAGCGGGCTGATCCTCAGATGCCGGCGGCTCCGACTCCGTCTTGACTGTCGATGGCCGCACTGACGGATCATCCGTGGCCGTCTCTTCCTCCGGGTTCTCCTCCTCGTACGAGTACTCGCTGTAGTACTCGTACTCGTCGCCATCCGGCTCGGGGTCGCCGCCCCCTTCTGCAGAGCCCTTCTTACCTTTGCCCTGCCATCGATTCGGCTGCTTGCCTTTGGACCCTTTTCCTTCAGTCGCAGACTGCTCTGGTGGTCCACCTTTTCCTCCTCCTTTATGACCATCTGGATTCCACCATCGACTGCCTTTTTCCTGCGGCATCATCATGGGTCCCATGCTTTGCATGGTGGGTGGCGGCATCATCATCTGTGCCGTCTGCTGTGCAGGAGGCATCATCATCTGCTGCGGTCCCATCATAGCTCCGAGCTGTCCCATGCCCATAGGCATCATCAAGGGATCGCATCCGAAGCCAGGCACCGGCATGGTTGGTGGCCCCATGGGCATACCCATCATCCCCACATTCGGCGGCATCATTGGTGCGCACCCCATGGGGTTCATCACAGGCATAGCCTGGTTCATAGTGGGCAGCGGCTGGTTCATAGGAGGTGGCACGAAACCTTGCTGCGGCTGCGACCTCATATCAGCAAGGATCCTCGCGAAGCCTCCAGGTGGCAAGCAACCACCATTTGGGGTCGGCAGACCACTCGATCCAGGCGCTGCCTGGTCATGTGGACGCTGTCCATCACTGGCGCTGCCAGGAGTGCGTACCGGCTCGGCCGGATCAGGGCGCTGCCCTGCAGCGGCGTCCCACTCAGGCACAGGGACCCGCTCTGCCATTGCTCGGCCCCCGGTATTCGGGGGCTCCGCTACCAATGCGGAGTGCGAAGTAAAAGCAAAGCTACCAAAGCTAACGGGGCGCGGCCGAAGCAACTATTTCAAACAGGCGAGCCAGCGCTGACTGCGGATGCGTCAGCGGTCTCAAGTCAAAGCCACCACATGGCAAAAACGTGCACCGACCACCATTTCTCACACTATCAACAGAAAGACCGTCGTACGACCCATGCCTTCAACCATTTCATCCAGGTCCTTCTGCTGCTTTGCTTGTGTGACCCATTGTTGCGCCAATCAGGTTGCTCATAGCTCTGTTAGGACATTTTAGGCGATTGTGATAGCTCAAGACAGATTCAGTAGAACAATCCCATAGAGATGGTGGCAGCTTGACCGTGAGTCTGTGAGACAGTGAAAAGCGGTCCAACGGAGCCGTTCCTACAGTAGTTCTTGGCTCCATGATAAGCACCGATGGTGACCATGGGAGTTGTTGAACACGTTCTTCCTTGCAGTTCGATTCTGCAATGATTGTGATCATGTTGACTAAAAAGAGGGAAACCACCCACCCCACTCACCCCACTCACCCCTCACTCGCACCTCTGCTGCGCCTTCAATTCCGCGATGGCTTTGCCCGCCTCCGCCCTGGCGCGAGAGAGCCGCGATTCGGCGCGGGGCTTGTTGGATGAGGCAGCGCTACCGGGCTCGGTGATGGATGCCAGCTTGCTCCGGCTCTTGGATTTCATGTACAAGGCGCGCCACGATGGCACTGCGGCAGAGTTGCGATTTGGTTCATCAAGTTCATACCAGCTTAGAGCAGGTACAACACTGGTCATTGACAGGGAAGCAAGCAACATCTTATGAGGACCGGAGACCACCATGATTGAGATTCCTTTGGTCATTGGTCAACGTGTACTGGACTCCAATCCTCAGACTCACACATCCCCATGCAGAAACAGCAACCATAGAGACAACCGCCTTCCCAATCCCCTTCAAGATTCTCTCCAAACTCGATCAAACGAGATTCTCGAGATCGTTCTGTTTTCGAACGCCGCGTCGTGGCGTCGCGTCGAGAACGTCGCACAGGTGGAGCTGTTCCAACAGTTGGATGCGGAAGAGATCCTGCAACTGGCGCCAGCCTTCCAGCGGCTGGAAGCCCAGGATGGTGAGAAGATCGTGTCCCAAGGCACGAACCCCGGCTCGGTTTGCGGCGGTCCCGTAGGTGTGGTGGATGCGATGCGAAAGACTGGCCAAGCTTGGGCGGGAAGACCGGTTGCTGATGTTGCTTTAAAATAGTGGTGGAAATGCCGCAGAATTCGCGTGATTCAATGGCATTCAGAACCAGTAACCGGTGATTTCAAGAACGCAACCATTCAACCATTCAACCATCACCATGTGGCTTCACGCTGTCGACCTTCCAGTCGTCTCGCCTCAGTATGGTCCAGGTGACGAAGGCGATCAGCTCTTCTTCATCGAATGTGGAACCGTGTCGGTGCGGGTGTCCAACGGTGGGAAAGAGCGGGAGATCACCACGCTGTCGCATGGTGACTACTTTGGAGAGGCGGGCCCACGCCCACGGCCTTTTGAAATCGGCCTTGGCGGCCGGGGTCGAGAGATGGAGAGATGCGGGTGTTGCTTTTTTGGGGAAGGCACCCACTCATACAAACTTATCCTAGGTGTCCTTCTTGCACAGTCAATACCCATGAAAAATGTGGTCTTCGACGGTTCGCAGGATGTATGGTTTTAATTCCTCTGCCAAGAGCATTATAGAAAGGGCCAGAATCATTATCCTACTACATTTGTGCACCAATCACAGATGTTGGAACTTTATATAACATTGAAGATGTTCTTACAGTCCAGCCTAGTTCCCGTCCAGATTGCGGGACCTTCTTGCTTTAGACTTTATGTCACCCCACCGGCTGCCGCCCACCATGAGAAGCCGCCGCTATCGCGGTGGCCACCGACCGCTCTGCGGCGCGTTCGACCGAAGGCGGCGCTGCTCCACGGCGCGCCGCGCAATGCCTCGGTCTACGCGCTCGGGGAGGTGCAGCTGCGCAGTCTGAGCCGCGAGCGCTTCGAGGCGTTCGACTTGCACCGGAAGTTGAACCTGGAGGTGGGACGGACGGAGGAGAGACGGATGGAAGAGGATGGACGGAGGAGAGACGGATGGAAGAGGATGGAGGGGAGATGGATGAGAGACGGATGGAGAGGAGATGGAGGGGCCTGCGCCCGTAGCCTGCAGCGCATGGGGGCTGGGCTGGGCTTTCTTAGGAGGGTTTTGAAGAAAGGGTCCGTGATTGAGTACAATTCGCATGTGGAGACTGGTTTCTATGTTAGGCCTTTATCGCTGTGATGCATGGTGGTTTGGTGGTGCGTAGGAGGGAATTTGCGATTGGGGGTTGCTTGTCGTGTTGCTGGTGTTGGATGATCTCAGAGGCTCAGAGGACTCAGAGGGGTGTCATAGCGGATGCTTAGCGCGGCCTCACCATGAATCCCTTGGGTGCTGAGGAATCTCTGGTGGCTCTATGGGGTTAATTCTGAAGATCAAGCAGAGCAATCAATCTTTTGTTCACCAGAATTCTGGATAGGAGATGTAATTGGCGATTGATGTCTACCATAGATTGGCGTCCCAATCGCACCTCTTGCATGTCCATCCGGAGTCAGCCTTGCATGCCATAAAATATGACTCATGACTCATGACCATACTTTCAGGCAAAAAAGGGTGACCTGCGGAAGCTCTTTCATTCGGTGGAAAAATACACCTTCTTGAGAATCCCTGATGAAGAAGGGCTTCTCCAGCTGCTGTTGTTGTCCAGTTAGCGCCGCGTCCGCAGAGAACCGCAGGTGCGAGATGCGCGGATGAAGAACGGGCTGCGTGAGCTCATGGGAGGCTTGGTCTCCGTGAAGACGTTCTGCAAAGCCGTCCTTCTGATCGGCATCTACTTCGGAGTGGCGGTCTTGATCTTTTCATCTTTGGAAGGATGGACTGGGCTTGATGTGGTCTACTTCTCCATCATCACTCTTATGACTGTAGGCGGGGGAGGGAGCTGGAGCTGAGGGAGCTCTGAGTCCTACATTCAAGGAGATGAAGAGAGTTCTTGACCATAAGCCATAAGCTATGATGCTGTCCATATTCCAGCATGTTCCAGCGCACCCTCATGCTTGTTCACATGTGGCCCAGGGGTTCGATGTTCCCCATCGATTCCCCAAGATAATAAGCCCTTTGTTGTAGAACAAGTTGGTCGAAACTCCCTTAGGAACCCTTCCTCTACAAGCCAACGCCTCCACAACCAGCAGCGCCTCACTGTGATATATCATTAGGTGATTCCTGTATATAATATACATGATGAACAACTCATGCCTCACCGGGTGAATCGAAAAAAACAACACCAGTGCTTCATCACCCCCCCAACCAAAGCCAAACCATGCCCTTGCGTTTCCCTGGCGTTTCCCTAGCGTTCTCTGTCGTCCTTTGGTGGGGGGAGGCTATGGTGATTACGCGCCCAAGCACTGGGGCTCTCGCTTGACCTTGGTCTTCTTCGTCTTGGCCTCATTGGTGCTGGTCGCCACCAGCATCGGCGAATTCCTGGAGACCCTGGTGGCCCTCGAGATCCGGAACGAGCGCGCGCGCAAGGAGCACCGTGAGGGCCGGGGGTCAACGGTTGACGGCCTGCGCCGTGAGGTTTGGGACTAGGGGAGGGTTAGGGGAGGTGTTTCCAATTCCCAGGTTGGGGTGTTTTCCTTTCCCGTTTGGCGCAAGCTTTTCCCGGATTTGTTTTGGATTCTTCGCTTCCCTGAAGCATAGCTGACCGATCCGGGCCGTGGCTAATGCGTTACGCGTGATGGGCCGACCATCTGCCCCGGTGGTTTCCTCCGTGGCACAGGCCCTGCAGCTGAAGCAAGCGCGGGTAGGGGTCTTTGATTACAGCGGGCAGCGGCAGCGCTGGCGACGGAGGAGCGTGGCCGTTTTTCTATGCGCGTCATGTGTTTCTTGTGGGGTGGAGGTGTGGAGGTGTGAGATCGGACCAGGTGGTCGAGAGGTGTAGTAGGAAGTGTTCATGTTGACTGCTGATGAATAGATCACCCCTACTCCTACCTGGATGCTCAAATATCTTTTTGTGGGGAAGTTCATTCGTCAACTGACTCTATTATATGCAGTTGTCAGTTCTATGAAAGATTTCTTTTTACCTGAATCCACCTTCTAAAAATCCTGGGTTCCTCCGTGTTTTCAACGGATCACACCGCTGTTTTTTGCCGCTGTTTTCAGCCGTGGGAGGACCTGCGCATGTGTGGGGGCGCTATTGGGGCTCTTGTTGGTGAGCTCCCTGCTGGCGAAAGCCTTCGCGCACAAGTGCCACACTTGGGTGGATGCCTTGTACTTTAGACACCTGGTAGAGTGAAGGGTATGGTGTCGGACTAGTTGATGAACCAGTCCGCTCTCCCATATCGGAGGTGTAGAACCATCCGGATAGGGAGTTTCACCTATCAATTTAGCTGATTCCTTTCGCTTGTTGAGAGCGAGACCTTGGGGGGACCAAGAGGCGATGATGAGTGATGAGCTTCGACATGATACATACGCAAGCTTTTAGTGAGCTAATGGCGCTTTGTTTGAGAAATCCCAAAGTGAGACTGAAACTCGAACGGCCCATGCGTATTTATGTTCAAGGGTGGGTTGAGGAGGGTATGCAATTTATGACCCAAGTATGTTGATGTGAGATGAAGAGGGGATTGGATGTTGATGTTGATGATGGGGGCTCCTCTTCTTCTAAGAGGCTAGCAGATGTAATGTCATGTGCTAGATCCTCTGGGTCATACCAACACGTTTCACCTATGCCATGGGAGCTTACACCAGCACTTCGTTCGATCTTTTCTGGAAACTTTACTCCCTGGTTGAATGCGCCTAAGCTGGTGAAGAACGCTCCGCCTTTAGATCCCCCGAGACCTGAATTCAGGGAACAGTCTGTGGCGATTAAGGCTGCTTCGATTTGACATGCAGTTCATATGGTCGCTTCTGAAAAAACTGATGTGGATAGGAATCGGGTTATTCTGAAATGGCTCGAATTAGTTCTGGCTAACCCCACTGGTTCGAGAGTTGGGCTGCAACTGATTTCCGAGAACAATGAAAAGATTGATGAGAACAAGAGCTATAAAATCCTAGAGGACACACTTCGATCTCGGGCAACTTCGACATTGGAACTGAGGGCTTCCTCTTTGGCTTTATACGTAAAATGGTTTGGAGAGAATTTCAGTGACAGATCATTTCTCCATTTCAATGAAAATGATGTATATACATATATGGATGATCTTCGTACAAAGGGTTGCTCGGCTTCTCGCGGTGCCACATTTGTCGGTACATTGGCTTTTGTGGGAGACTTACTAGGAATGACAGGAGTTGCTGAATGTGTGCAGTCTGCACGTGTGAAAGGAGCATCTCTAGGAATGTTTCTGGAGAAGAGGCCACTCCGCCAAGCTCCTGAGTTGTGGCTCATCATGGTCCTCACCTTGGAAATTGCAGCCTTTTGTGAAAAGGACACTTATTTACGTGCTTTGGCTGGGTTTGCACTTTGCTGTATTTATGGACGGTTACGAGTATCGGATCTGAACCGATTAGTTCATATTAGCATCACTGATGAATATGCCGAAGGATCACTCATGCGTGTAAAGACGGCAAGGACGAAGGAGAAACAGTGTACGTTCCTTCCAGTGGTTATTCCAACAAAAGGTTTTCTTGGCGTTGATTGGTTTACTGCATTTGTGACTACGAGGAAACGTCTTGGCTTAGCTGATTTTCCTACTTTGGAGTCAAAGGCGCCCAACAGGAAATTCGTTGTGCTACCGTCGGAGGACTCAGTGCATTTGGAGCTGTGTTCAAAAGTTAGCGCTACTCAGGTGACCGAAGGCCTCCGAAGTTTGTTGGGAAAGGTTTTTGCAGAAAGCCAGATTTCAGATATTCCTCCCCATTCTTTGAAAGCAACTGTTTTGACATATGTGAACAAAGCTGGTATGGATCCGACGTACTCGGAACTTTTGGGCTACCACCTGACTATGCGCAAGTCAGCCATCAATTATTCTCGTGGTGCCCTTGCAGCGCCTATCAGAGAAATGATGCGGATCCTGCATTCGATTCAAGAAGGATCCTTCAGGCCTTGCTCTCAGAGAAGTGGCATGTACCCTGAAAGCAGTGAGTGGCAAGAAATTGCTGAACAGCTGAAAGGGTATTGTGGCATGGATTTTATGGAGTTCACAGAAGGATTTTTGACGTACAACCCTGAAGATATACACTTAATGCTTCAGGCAGATGAGATGCAAGAGATGTGGAATCTTTTGTGCAGAGAGCCGTCTGCATTTCATACGGACACCTTCAAACCCAAAGGTGATGTAGATGATTACGTTCAGGCATTGAGTAGCTCCGATCCAGGGTCAGGCAGTGATTTTTCTGATTCAGAAGCCTCCTCAGCAGAAGTGGCTTTGGCAAGCATCTCAGAGAAGACGGAGTTGAAAGGAGAACGTAGGAATGTTTCTCAGTATGCTGTTTTGGATGTGATGTTTCGACACAAACGCACGCGTGTGTTGCACTATGGGCATACAGATTCAGACAGCAAAACCGCATGTGGACGTTTGCTGGGAACTACATACAGTCCTTATTATGGCGACCCAGAGAAAGCGTGGCCGCATTGTATAGCATGTTGGGGTAACTAAATGCTCAAAACACGACGGTACTCGTGCTGTGAAAAAAATCAACGCTGATTCAGGTGACATGCCATGTAGGTTGTGCGACGTGCACTAGGAACTGCTGATAAGTTTTCCTTTGTGAGGCCGTTCCTGAACTTCCTGAGAATTATGGGCACAAGAAGTCACGTTCCTACTTTGACTTAAGCCGAATTCTCAGGCGCCGCAATTATGGAAGTCCTTGTGCCCCCTGCGCCATCCAGAGGACTGCGGATATGTGGATGTTGTACAGCTGATGTAGCTGCGAAAACTGTCAGCAGTTCACGTTGCATGTCATGTCGATTATGTTGCACAGCAAACATGTGGAAGAGAGAGAGAGCAAACAAATTGTTGGAGTTTGCTCTTCACTCATGATGTTGATGTATGCCAATAAGCTCAATGTGAGCAGTGTTGGAACCCTTGAAGGGTTCGATTGGCCGAATTGTGAGCCATGTTGGACTCAGAGGCCGATTTCAAGTCTCGGTGCCGCGAGGTGGGCTTCGAGAACGATGACATCCAAAGGCTAATGGCTTTGGGCTATAGCACTTTTGCTAAATTAGCATTCGCTAGCAACTATGTTCCTGGCCAAGCAGATGAGGGACCTTTGAAAGAGTTAGCAGTGGAGATCCTTGGAGTTGATCCCCCACCTACCAACAAGATGCCGCTGATTCGTCGAATGGTGTATGAATCGTACACCCTAGCTGCATCTGATTTGAAGATGCGGACCGAGCGAAAAGACGATGATGCTCCACGCCGACTCGCTCAAGGAGAAAGGTCTGCGCGATATGCTGAACAGAAGGCCAGGCTGACAGGGGTTGACATGACGGGCGAGATGGAGCCGTCACATCATTTGATCGATCTTGTCTACAACATGGCCGAGGATAACCAGCTTCGGTACATCAAGTGGGAGGAGTGCACTAAGAGGGATCAAGAGTTGATGGGAGTGAAAACAGATCCCATATGGCGTGCTGATGCATCCGGTGTGATCAAGGAGGTGAAGGTAAAGGAAACCCTTCGTGCAGAGCTTGACACTGATTTGAAGCTGAAGTTCTTGCTGCAGAGGCGCTCACTAGCCTTTGACCAGGCGAAGCTTCTTGACTACGAGCTGTTTGAGAAGTGGACCAGAGTGCTTCTTGAGGCATACAGTGCTCCGCCCCCGGAAGGCTTCCTGAAGGTTTCCCTCGAACAAGCTCGAGCGGACATGGAACTTTTCAAAACAATGATGAGGGAATCTCGAGGAGGAATCAAACCTACAGGAGCAGGCCAACCCCTCAAGGATGTCTTTATCGAAGCCATGAAGACCACGGATGTGAGAATGCACCTACAACCTCTTCAAGGAGCGTCCAAACGTAGAGCAGATCAGATGTCAGAGAGTTCCAGCTCGAAGGATGACGAGCTCACCAAGATGCGCAGGGGGCAGCTCAGAAACAAGGGTGCCGCGAAAGGCGCAAGTCGAGCTTCATCGTCGAGCACTACACCTCCGTCGAAAGCTGCAAAGTCGAAAGGGAAAGGTGGGAAGCGATGGCTTATCAAGTTGCCCCCACCTTTGATTGGAATGTCTCCAACTACTCCAGATAATGAGCCAATCTGCTACAACTTCAATTTGAAGGGATGTGACGGAGCAGCTCCTGGGGAACGATGTGAACGAGGGTGGCATGTTTGCATGATGCCCGGCTGCACCAAACCGCATTCGGTGAAGGGTCACAAGTGACACGATGTTGACGCTCAGCTGAGTCATCGAGATGAGGCAAAGCAGAAGCGTAGTAAGCTGGAGAGTAGCACTGCCAATCGAGTGAACTCGATATGTATAGAACTTTGTCCTGGTTGTGCGAAGCTGTCTGCAACCTTGAAGTCGAAAGGATTCAAAACAATTGCTGTGGACCATTCTAAGAATCGTCATCGTCAGCATCGCCCATGTGTTTTAGTTGATCTTGCAGATGAAAGTTGCATTGAACAAATTCAGTGTTTGCTTGATGAGCCGGGTCAACCCATTTATTTGCATGCTTCCCCACCATGTGGCACAGCTTCACGAGCAAGAGAGAGAAAGATTCCACTTCGCCTCAAACGACAAGGAGCTCCAGAACCCAAGCCTCTGCGCTCCTCCAGGCACCCACATGGCTTGCCTGACTTGAAGGGTGTCAATAGAATCAAGGTCGCGACTGCAAATCGCATCTATGCCAACGTTTGCGAGCTTATTCGATCTGTAGGACCCAATTCCATTGTCACCATCGAGAACCCCAGGCGTTCGTACATGTGTGACACAGTTTGGATGAACAATTGATTAGAGACATGGGTCTTTTTCCGGTTACCCTTCAGCAATGCATGATGGGTGGTACAAGGGACAAGTGGACTACACTTTATAGGAATCATGAGGCATTTCAACGATTAGCCATAGTCTGTGACAGGTCGCATTCGCATCAACCCTGGGGAGCCGAATATTCCCAGGACGGGTGGAGATTTGCTAGTGCGGCTGAAGCTGAATTTCCCCAGCTTCTATGTGATAGAATCACTCAAGTTGTTTGTGAGGCAGCACGTGACAACGATGTTTTGCTTTTGCCGCAGCCTGCTAAGCGACGAAAAACCCTGACAGCTCAACAAAGAGCTGCTGAAGCAGGTCGTCAGCCTAGGGGGCAACCTCCTCCCGCAGATCATTCCGGAGTTTGCATGTACTCACGATGTTGAATGGCCGACACCCGTGCCCACCAAATCCTTCATGCTCACAGACGCACAACGTCAGCAGTATAACTTGCCACCACTTTGCAAATTTCTGCCACCGCAAAAGGGGGATGTCCAGACAGAAAATTGCAAGAAAAGTAAGAACATGGCTTGGGTAAAAATCGGACAGCTTTGAACACCTGATGAGTTCTGCACCAAAGCGCTCCAATTGGATCACCCCTTTGATGGCGATACAACAGTCACGGATGATGCCAAGAGGGCTATGTTCTTGCTGCTCACGGAAGGCTTGGATCACATGAAGAAACTGCGTGACGATCTCTTCAAGCATTATGATGACCTTGCAGTGAACCTGGAGTTGCAAGAAAAGTTGTTGCATGATGGGTTGGATAGTAACCAACGTGAACTACTTAGCGGTAAGAGGCTTCTCCTTTTCCGTCAGATGTGCCGAGATGCAGCTGTCGAAGATGAAGGTCTCTTGGACATCATGTTACAGGGAGTCAAGTTGACGGGTCGTGCAGCAGAAACTGGCTTATTCCCTTTTGAAGAGATTGAACCGTCCATCACGGAGACCCAACTTATGAAGTCAACCCGTTGGAACAGAAAGAAAATCTTGATGAAGACTTCGCCTGGAACAGATCGGGTCAAGAAAGCCATATGGGAAGGAGCCTCAGATGAAGTCTCTAAGAAGTGGCTTGAAGGACCCTACACGGAAGAAGAGCTGATTGCTGAATTAGGCCCCCTCTTCGTTGTTTCACACAGGTTTGGCTTGGAGCAATCTGATAAAGTTCGAGCTATCGATGACATGTCAGAATCCCTGGTGAATGCTTGCTTAGGCTCTGTGTGCAAATTAGACCTACCCGGAATTGATGGGGTGGCTATTTTAGCACGAACCTTGGTCGAAGCTGTTCGGGAGGTAAGATTGTCTTCAAAATCTCCAATGGGTCAACCTTGACTGGACGGCTACATGAGTCCTTAGACTTGACTAAAGCTAGATCTCTTCGCGGCCGGACTTTGGACTTGGATGCTGCATACAAACAGATTCTTACATCCAAATGTTCGAGGTGGTGCTCGGTGCTGGCTGTAGAAAATCCCGAAGGTTTCAAGAAGCTCTTCATTTCCAATGTTTTACCATTTGGAGCTTCAGCAGCGGTCTACGCCTTCAATAGGGTTGCCAGAGCAATTCATGTGATCGGTGAACGGCTCTTTGGTTTGGTCTGGAGTAACTATTATGACGATTACCCTCAGCTGGACCTTGCATGTTGTGGCGATGAGGCACAAAGGACTGCAGAAAGGCTTTTAAGTCTTTTAGGTTGGCGTTTCTCCTTAAAGGATTCGAAACGAAAACCTATGGATTTTTGCTTTGATGTTCTTGGGGTTACATTTGATTTGAGCTTGAGCTACAAGGGACGTATCATGATTAGGAATAAAAGGTCCCGGGTCTCTCAGATTTCTCAAGAGATCGAAGACATCTTGAACTCTGGATCGTTCAGCCCGGCGAGAGCTACATCCCTAAGGGGACGTCTTCAATTTGCTGAATCTCATTGTTTTGGCAGAGCCCTTTCTGCAAACCTTAAGCAATGGCAGCTGAGGGCTTCGGGAAAGATGCTTGGCTCCTATGTGACACGGCTCTCCGCGACGAGCTGAATTGGGCTAAGTGGTTTGTGAATCAAGACCACCCTCGAATTCTTGAAGCAGGAATGAGACAGAACAAGATAGTCATTTTCACAGATGCAAGTTTGGAAGGTAACGATGAAGTAGCAGGAATTGGCATGGTAGCCTTTGTAGTTGAAAACTCAACTGTTGCACACAAGTTCTTTTTCAGTGAAAGGGTTCCAGCTAATATTTTGAATAGCTGGCAAACCCGAACCAAGAAGATCATAGCCTCTCTCGAACTTTTTGCGGCTGTTGCTGCATGTGAGATCTTAGGCGAAAGATTTCCAGGTTTGTGTACTTTTGTTTACATCGATAATGAAGCTGCACGGGCATCCCTGATTGCCATGTATAGCACAGTGCTGCTTCACATTACTCTTTTAAAACAACTCTCTTTCTGCTCCCTGAAGAGGAACCTTTTCATGTGGATTGCCAGGGTCCCATCCTCTTCTAATTGTGCAGATTTTCCTTCGCGATTTATTTTTGATCATTTGATTTCAGAAGGTTTCGCACGTGTAGCTGTCAAGTGGCCGGCTCCTTGAAAAACTCCCAAGCCTGAAGTTAAAGAGTTCTCACTGCTTGCATTCAAAGGGGGTTATCTGGCAAGACATGTGAGAAACTTCGATGTGCAGTTCACTTGCCGCTATGTTGATGTTGATGTCACCAGGAGCTCGATCTCGAGGACTACCCCGGTTTCAGAAGAGGACGTTGCAAGGCCGTTTTTCTGACAAGCATGGGATGGGAATGAGCAAACAAGCAAGCTTTTAGTGAGCTAATGGCGCTTTGTTTGAGAAATCCCAAAGTGAGACTGAAACTCGAACGGCCCATGCGTATTTATGTTCAAGGGTGGGTTGAGGAGGGTATGCAATTTATGACCCAAGTATGTTGATGTGAGATGCCCGCCCCCCCACTCCTATGTTAATGTGCTTGGGGGTTATCTGGCAAGACATGTGAGAAACTTCGATGTGAAGTTCACTTGCCGCTATGTTGATGTTGATGTCACCAGGAGCTCGATCAGGAGGACTACCCCGGTTTCAGAAAAGGACGTTGCGAGGCCGTTTTTCTGACAAGCGTGGGATGGGAATGAGCAAACAAGTATGTATGATTGTGTGTGTATGATTATGTATATATATTATATACATACATGCATATAAGTTTGGTTCTACCCTTAGCTGCTAGCTTTAGATACATGTTGCCTTTCCAGAATTGTATTTGTACATCCCGAACTCCAAGAAGCAGCGTAAATGCCATCCCTCTTCTTCAAGCGTACACACCCTGTAAAAGGGATTTTTGTGCAAGTGACAATGTAAAAAACACTTTTTGAAGACGCGCTATTTGTGACGTTTCTTGCCTTTTGCATGTTGAGACTTGAGACCACCCACATCGTGCACAAAAACACTGTGAATGATGTAATGATGTGTTTGTGAAATACTGCACGTCCCAGACATGCATCAAATTCGAGCCAACATCCATGAACAACACGATTTCGGGTACCCCCCAAGAAAATCGACACTTTCCCCAAAATAGCAAAGATCATTGTCACAAATCCAATTCGGTCATAGCTCTAAGATCTCACACCTACCATTGGCCAGAGCTCAGTAGAGGGTCCGTTCTGGATCGGTGGACTGTGCGAGGTCTTCAATTGATCCAAGAGCTTTCCGCCATATATGATAACCCCAAAGATGACTTCTCCAACAATGTGTGAAGGGTCGTTCTTTACACGGTTTCCGGCACGCGGTCGTCCGGTCGTCCCCAAGGCGTGGTGACACTCTCTACCATCGGCTACGGCGATTTGACGCCAGGGCGTGAGCCGGGCTCGCGCGTGGTGGTGGGCATCCTGGTGCTCTTCGGCGTGCCCTTCTTCGGCATGATGCTGGCGCGGATCGTGGAGATCGCCTACGGCCGTGCCAAGAAGATGGGGCTCCCCGCCGTGGTGGGCGGCTTGACCAACGAGAAGTTCGAGCAACTCATCGAGTTCACGGACCAACTCTGGAGGGCGGGGGGCTACAACTCCCGGCCTCAGGACGAACGAGGGGGTCATCGCGGCGTCCGGGGACGTCGTCTCTTCGTCTCAGGTCTGTAGAGTTACGGACCCCTTCCGCCGAAGGGAAGGGTCAGTTCGGCAGGGATGGGCAGTTCGGGATGGGCAGGCAGGCAGTTCGGGTGTAGCTTTCGGAGGTCGTGAAAGGAGGAGTTTCTGCACGTCGCTTTGGGTGTGTTTCCGGCTTCTGGGGGAACCAAAGCGAGGTTTGGTTTGGAAGAGTCAAGTCTTCGTCTCCCCCGTTTGACCCATCCAGGTAGGGCTATGGTCACAAAGGGCAGGTGTTGACACTGGACACTTGTCGCATGGTTCGAGTGGCGTTATGGGTTTGCACTGTGCAGAAGAAGTATAGTGGTCCCCAAATAGATGACCGTGGCATGGTTTCCAATACCTTTTCTACGTGGGGATCTACGAACTTCTATCTATTTGGGGGTGTACTGTAGATATTTCACTGCTGTTGTGGGCAATTCCTGCGCAAGTTTTTGAGGACGGGACATGCCCTCATGGTCATGATGAAGTGGAGATGCTGAATGGGATATGTTTGGGGCGTGTTGCGGATGTTCTGTAAGCTTTATCATCAGTTGTAGGCTTGTGACCTTTGAATTCATGGATTGATCTTCCCAGCGCCACAAAGAACAGGAGAGCTTGCGTGAAGAGATCACTCCCTTCGAGTTTCTTTGCTTCATGCTCACGCAGAATGAGTCTGTCCTTGGCCCTAACTGGGTGTGCAGGAAGTGCTGAAAAGTCCTTCTGGCCTTTTTTGGTGTGTTCATTATGATAAGGAACATGAGGAAAGCTCCTCCCTACGTTTGGAACATGGGGCACCACTGCGTAGTCGCCATATCATACATTTAGGCGATCTTCTTCAGCTGTTCTTTTAGATGCAGAAGACCTCCTGGGCGCGAAAGAGAGAAGCACAGCGGAGAGACGTGTGGCTAAAGGGGGCAACTCGGGTTTGACTAGACCTTCGAGGCTCTTAGGTCTCCTCTTATCTTCCGCGGTCCATGTCCGTTTTTCGGACAGCTGTCCGTTTCGTTTTTTCACCTGGGCAGCAACCGCAGAACTGATATTCCACGGAACCTTACGGGGGGGGCCCTTTATTAGAGAAAGAGAGAGAGAGAGAGAGATTGCAAGATTCCAAGGTCTCCTTAGATGAGATCAAGCAGATCATGGCGAACTTCTCAGAGTTGGACTTGAACAAGACCGGTCTTTTGGATCAGTCTACAGTCGACGAGTGGCTGAGGCGGCGTCTGTTCCTTTATGGTTTTTCACATGCTCTGGATTCTCATTTGCGGTGCGATTTTGGTGTCGTCCGTTATGTTTTGCTCATTAGCGGAACGTGGGTTTCAATGGAACCTTTCACAGAATGTGCAACATATGCTCCCTCCACCACAACCGAAAGCACTGCCCAACGTGGAAGAATCCTTGGGGCAGATTTCACTTTTGCACGCCTGCTTTATGGTTCCAAAGGAGAATCATTTGAGAAGACCATATTGATGGTCCGGAAAGACTCCAACTCTCCTGCAGCTTTAAAATCGGGTTTCCAAACAGACGGGTCAGAACCCTAGCCTATCTCCATTGTAGCCTCTCTTTTTTTCCCAAAGGATTGCTTCTTCATGCTTCTTGATCGTTCCTATGCCTTACAACCAGACACCGACTTTCAGCTGGAACCCTGTCTGGTACGCGACGCCCGTCCGGTCGTGAGGCGTGGCTCCAGCAATCCGCAGGGCTTCGCACCCTCGAGGCGTCTGAAGCGACTCACGACCAGCCCCAGCAACGCGACGGGCCTTGGCCCCAGCCCTTGCAGCAGTTTGATCTCGATGGCCACAGCCTCGAACACACCAACCTCGCCTGAATCTTGAGGAGGTGATTGTTTTTTTTTGGAGGTTCAGCCTCCGAGTTTGTCGGAGGTTTGGTCCGCGATCGGGCTTTCAGGACAGAGGAGGATGAAGATGGTTTTGTGGATTTTCAGAAAGACTTAGTCTTAGCAAGCTAGTTGAGCCAATTGCTGGCCGTCTATGCAGAAGCACTCCTTGGCGAAGCCAATGCAGTTGCTTGATTCTTCAGAGGCGGTCTGTTTTTTGAACTGACCGCGTGGACTCAGCGCTTTAGACGTGCCAAGAAAAGGCGTTTTTTGGGTATGCTGTGGCCACCCGCTAAGGAGAACTCAGGCCTAACAATCCCAAACCAGCTGCATCATCGACCATCGACCAAAACTTGAACCCTTTGGGTGAATGGGTGTGCAGGGTTCAGTTCTCCATTTGGACCAAGAGGGTGTCCTCGCAGGACTGTCTCAGTCCAGGGTGTGCAGGATTGATGCGGAGCGGGAGACCATCTGGACCACTCCTTTTGGATCACCTGGGATGAGATTTTCACCACATGCCGCAGATGGCAGTCATGCAGGCCCCGACTTCCGCAGATGGCACCCGCCCCCCTCACCACCGCTCACCCCAGAAAAAAGGGGGGTATCAAACAAGGGAGGTACTCTTGCACCGACTATAGACACGTGCCTCTTGTAGAAGTTCATTCCGTCACATCTCCGCAGCTGGATGCCCGATGTGTGACGTCCGCCGAGCCGTTCGGACCAGGCCTTCACCGATGAATGCTTCGACCCATGCCATGAGGCGCGTCGCGACCAGCACCCGGACGGAGCGGCACGCTCGAGGAAGGGGTTCAGAGCCCGGTTCCCTGGCGTGTTGATGGGGTCCCAGTTTCCGGTGGCCATGAGGGTGAGAGGCTTTTGTCACATGTTTTGCCCAGCTGCAGGCGGCAGGCGGCGGCCTGGATGGCTCGGCTCCACCATCGCGTGACGGCCGCCGGCCACGACGACGGGTCGGCCGCCGGTCCTTCTCCGGCCGGCCCTTGAAACCCGTTCGCTGGGCGGATTTCACCGGTTTCACCCTGTCTCACTGCGTTGGCGCACAACGACACGGATGACCTGACAAGTCCCACCCTCGGCCGAAAAGACAAAGGACCGAGCATGGCGGGGCGCCACCTAGTCGATAGGCCAGACACCTGTTTGCTGAGCGATGCTGGCTGCGTGTGGGGGCTTGTGGTGAGGCCTACTGCAAGGGGTCCCGTTTCTCAGTTCTTCAAATGGGTCGCTCTACATCCAATGGGCAAAAAACCAGCACGACGTGTGGATTCAACTGAGCAGATGCCCCCCGACAGCCTGAATCGACGGATTTTGGTGTAGGACGGATGCTGAGATGGGGATTCGTTATGTCCACTGACATAGGGATTTGTCCAACAAGAATCTCCTGGTTTGCTCAATCCGAAGTCTTTTTTCGATGTGCCAGGTAGAGAAGAAGGGATTCATGTGGAGCACTCAGCCAAGCAAGAGATCGTGCATAGTACGGTGCCAGTACGTACGGCCACCCTTTGTGCCTTGCAGTACTTTCGCACCATTCCAGCAACTATACCAGGACCCTCTAAGGGGTGCCCTGTCTGGAAACCTATAGGTAGTGTGGGGTAGTCCAGCCAGGACACCCCTTGGAGGGTCCTGGTATAATAGATGTATTGAACAAAAGACAGCTGTACAGCTGTACAGCTGTTCGGAGAAGAGACATGGAACATCATTCAACGAGCTCAATCTTTAGAAGGAGGTGAACTCCACACGACGGCATCCCTATGATATCTTTGACAAACAAACCACCCTTGCCCCCCACCAAGGCTGGCGACAAAACCAGTAAGGGATACCCTCATCATGTCCACCAGTAACAGTCAGGTCTAAGACTATCACGATTGCTGTAACCAGCCTCCATCATCCACGGGGCGTAATGTAATGGGATACTCCCTCTCTCCAACCAACATGGAAGTGAACCGCTCCCTTCTGATTTACTGTAGAGTCTTTCCAAAGGCGCCATCCACCATTTCCCACCCGGGCAGTGGCCGTGCCATCCACCTTCCATCCACCATTTCCTGTGTTCATCCACCGTCCCCTTGCATTGCTTCAGAAAGTGTGCCACAGGAAATGGTGGGAAGGAACACCATCCACCACCCTCATCTACCACCCTCATCTACCACCCTCATCCACCACCCTCATCCACCACCCTCATCCACCACCCTCATCCACCCTCATCCACCATTTCCTTCACTTTCATCCACCTTCAGAACGTGTGCCACACTTCCGGGCACCGGACAGTGCGTCGTGTTCGGAACTCTTGGAGCCTTCCCAGGCCCGCCTGGGATGAGGCGAGGGGGTGGGACCTCGGCGGACCCCGGTGGTGGCGGGTGTCGGCGGGTGTCGAGGGAGATCCTTTTTCGACTACAACACGCCGAGGGTTGGAAGAGGAGAACAAACATTAAGGTTGGATTTAAACCTCATTCGCCAGCTTATCAGTTTCTTTGTGTTTTTCATGGTGGTATCACACCGAGGGTGTTGCCTCCCTGGCGAAAGACTCTGACCAGAGTTCATGTCATTGATATGTGCTTTGATACACAAATTTTTTCCTTGGCCAAAGATGACATTTGACGCACATAGCATGGAGCACCACCCGAAGTTCTCAGACCCAAATGTCATTTTAGCACCCAAACTCATGGGTTGGGTTCCCATATTCATCCATCTTCAGTGTCACATGTTGCACGCCCACACGATAAAAACACACACCAAACCGGTCACCAATTCTAAGGGTCTCATGCCTCACGCTTTCAGACCGGCCATTCTTTCGGATCTCCACAGATGTGGTGTTCAACCTCCACGGACGGACCGATGCGTGCGTGCGTGAGGATCCGGAAGCCGATTCTGGGGAGCTTCTTTGTGCATGCCTTCCAACAAGCTGTTGTCCAGTTGGGGGACCAAGATTGGAGTCAGGGAGCTGGCTTGTGAAATAGAGAGAATTGCCATAGGTCTCATGATGGCTAACAAGCCACGGTGGCTTGTTGGCATCTTGCCACAGTCCAGTTCAAGCTGGTGTGGTTCCACCAGCTGATTGACTGGACTGCCAGCTGGTTTGTTCAACTAGCAGTCCTTCTACTACAACGAAAACCACTGGACGGAGTATTGCCCTAGACTAGATTCCGGCAGTTCCCACAGTGTGTTTTTTTACAACTCAGTTTTCATCCGTCAAGATCTGCAGATGTCTTCCCCCAACCATTTGATCCATCCACCTGTGCAAACTGGAGGTGAACCGGAGATGGAACTGACCCATTTTGGAGAGGGTGCTACTGGGGGGTGCTATTGGTTCACATGGATTTGATCTTCTGTGGGCATTGAACGCAAGTCCAAGATTGTTGTATGGTTTCGTGCTTTCATCTTTTCATTCGACAAGCCAGCTTGGCATCTGCAGGTCGTTCGCAAGAGACTGGCCTGCCGGCGTTTGCTGCAGGCATGGAAGGTTCTTCAGTCGAAATGAGGGGACTGCACAGGTGAGAATGACCCCAAATATAGCCTGGTTCCTGGTACCTTTTCTTGGCGGCAGCAGAGGGGATTGCGCAGCAGTGCCTGGGAAAGGGTGGCCCAAGTGCCTGGATTGGATGTGGCAGTGCCTGGCTGCTGCCCTGTGTTGACCCATGCAGTGAAAATGGAGTGTTGCATCAGAGGAGCAGGGTTTGTTGTTAAGGAAGAACAGTGTAACAACTTGAGAGACCCAGATCCACCAGAGATTTGAAGATGTTTGGTCACGACTTGTGTGAGAAGCTGTGGGCTACAACTTGAAAACAACCCTCGTTCCCTGATGTTTGTCAGCTAACCAAGCATCGTCCCTGATATGTTGCATTAACCTGCCATGCGAGGAAGCTGTGTGATAACTAGTAACTAGGAAGTTAGGTTCTTGAGCCAAAACTACTAATCACGAAAGGTAGCTTGAGCTACCTGAGTTCTCCTTGCTTTAGCAAAAATGTATTACAATCAGGAGTTGGGATTGTGCATTGAGTTTGGTCCTGTAAGAGATGATTCTGTTCGTCGGGGGGGGGGCCCCCCCCTGGATCAAATCCCCCCTGCGCCGGTTCACGCCGTCATGGACTTCTACCAGGGTTGCTTGTGATTGCCTGCTACCTTTCGTTCACCCCCTCCTCTCTCAAGTCCACATTTGTCCAAGCAAGTGGTTTGCATCAGCATCCCAACAGGAGCGGTTCCCAAATCCATCGCGGAATCGGCCAGCACCACTGCCCCCAGTGAAGCCACATCATATTTAGAGACCAAGCACCGTCATGGTTACCCTCGATTGGTTTTTCAGCTTTGTTTTCAAGGTCTGGTGGTGCGTTTTTCATGTTGGTTTTCCAAAAACCAGTCTAAGGGTTCATGTAAATCCGTGGACGTGACACCTCCCTGCACCAGGGCGGCGCCTGCTGCGCCGTGGCCTCTGCTGTGGCCTCCGGCGTGCTGGCGCGGGTGCTGGCGCCGCCACCCGCGGAGCCGGCGCCGCCACCGTCCTCCTGCGGGGTGGCACGGAACTCCACGACCACGTGTCGGGTGACCCAGGGGAAGAAGGGGAAAGAAAGAGAAGGAAAGAAGTGAGCTAGGGTGAAGCGGAGGTGAAAATTCAAGTCTTTGTTGGGTTGGTTAGGTACCTGGGATGATTTTTGCATACACAATGCGCAAAAACGGAATGATTGCAGTTGAGAAGACTTGTTGCATTTGCTTGGCAGAGCACCAATGTGTATTCCAAAATCCCCCCAAACAAACGTCAACCACTCTTGACTTGTTACTTGTGGATATCAAACAACAGTTGTATTCAAGGATGTAGGATATGAATTGTGTCCCCTTTTTCCTTGCGATTCCTTTTCCAGGTGTGCCCTGGACCTTGGCAGGGACGCACCTCTTTGACCGGAGAACAGGCCGATCGCGGAATGTGTGGATGGGGCCAAGTAGCTGCTAGCCACTGAGGTACTCGTCTCCCTCCAACATCCTTGTGGATGTGGCCCCCTTTTGGTTCTAAAAAGCAGTCATTCTTTTTTTTGGAAGTGCTATGCCTATGCACTTCCATGTTTGGAGGCGGTAACTTGGGATCATGAATCATGGATATACAGGAGTGTACGCTGTATATCTTATCTATATAGTTATATATATATAATGAAGAAAATCAACCTCCAGGAATCTCTCTGGACATGAACCTTGAGGTTTCAGCCCGTACGCCGCGCAGGTGAGTTGCAGATGGACAAAGCCAATACGCTGGAGGAGACTCAGTTCACTGGTACGTTCGGTCCTCCATTGTGTGGAGATGTTGACCTGGAGGCCTTTCTCCCTTGGTCTTACGTCCAGAGGTTGGGGAGTTGGTGGTGGTTTTCTCCCAGAATTGGTTGAAGGGAACATCTGCAGGAAATGATATGTATCGTTTTCGTGGTGAAAACCGTTTCGGATGATGCAGAGCCAACCAATGGCTGACCCGAAGCTGGTCCGGAGCGCTGCGCTGGCAGATGAAGCTGCAAACGTCACAAGTTGTTTTTTTTTTTTTTTATGATTCACCCAGATATATAACAGGACTGAACAACCCACAGCAAAGGTGCTGATGAACTGCAGGATTCCGGAAGTGAAGTACCAGGTGGTTTCGAGACCTCAAGGGCTTGTTCTCATGATCATCAAGCTACATCATCAAATGCACTCTCTTTTTGCCAGAAACACAGACAACACCGAGACTGGTCTCTGGAAGAAAGACGGTCTTGTCCCGGCCGGGCTGTGGACTGCTGCTTCGCAGGACTGCTGCCAGGGCTGTGACGGTCTGGCAGAGTGCCAGGCATTTGACGGGTAGCTCCCGGGGCTGTGACGGGTAGCTCTGAAGTGACCTCGGTCTGGGTAGATCATCTGTGCGGGCCCTGGGTGCTTGGCCGTCTGACTCGTCCCGTCTCCGCAGCGCGATGGCAGTTTCTGGGCTATTATTGGTGCAGGACCGATCGGTCAAGTCACGAGCCAGGCCACCGGTCCTTCCCAGGCTCGCCAGAAATTGATGGATGAAACACACCCAAATGGCTCCCATGGTGTTTGTCTGGCAACGGTGTGTTTCACACACCGGTCCCTTCATCGCCGAGACGGATGAGAACCGAGATCACCGGCAAAGACGGATCGATCGCCTTGCGACTCGATCCAAGATCTCCGGTCTCAGAATGTGCTGAGACCGAGCAGATTTCTTCTTTGGCATTCTTTTTGGTTAGCATGGATACGGGCAGAGGGTGTGTTGGTTGAAGGCGAAACATCATCGGTTCCGTTACTTGGTTAGCAATTTGCAACGACACGATGGACCCTCTGGCCGTGGAGGCTTTGATCCAAGGCGCCCTTGGAACTATCCCAAACACCTGAGGATGCTGGTTCCACTCCTTCACCAACATCCAGGTGAAGACCCCATATCAATTGGCGCCCAGGAAACAGGGTTGTCAGAACTGGAAGCTGAAGTCCAGCAGAAGCCCATGGGTGAGCGCCGCGAATTCACGCCCTGGCGCAGCATCTTCCTTTCCTTTTCCACCTCCTCCCCTCCCCGGTCTTCGTCCTCTTCGGCGCGAACCGGAACGACCTCCGAATCTCCGTTCCGCGGCGCATGGCTCGGACCTCGCGGCTGGAGGCCTGGATCTTCGAGCGCATGGCCAAGCGCCCGGCAGCTGAGAGTTGGCGACGGGTGGTGCCCTTGGGTGCCCTGGGTGTAACAAAAGCTCTTCAGAGTTCGATGTGAATGAGTGTTTGTAAGTGGATGGTGACCTCCGTTTGTACCAACCAACCTTCAAGAGCACAGGTCCCTCCAAGCCGTTTGGAGCGTTGCGGTTGTTCGCTGAGGAGTCGGAGCTCGTTGGTTCGACGGTTCGCTCTCGTCCAGTTTCGCTCGTGTCTCGCGGAAGTTCGGATGCTTCGGACTGCTTCAGGGGAGTCTGACGGATGCTTCGGACTCCGACGGTGCGATCCGTGGCGTTTCCGTTCCACCCCAATGGCTGGTCCCTCTTGATCACCGAAAGAGAAGGTCGAGAACTTCGAGAACCTCGGACCCCAAGGGCTCCCTGTTTTTGGAAGTGTCCCACTTGCCCCGAACTCAAGGCTCCCGGTGGTTCCCCCGAAAGCATCCGCTGGTACCGCAAGCTCGCTCGCAGCACCGTGACGAACGAACCGCTCGCTTGCTGCACCGGCTGGTTTCAGGATGCCGTTGGATCCGCTTCGAGGATGAGGTTTGTGAACGAAATCCTGAACATCTTGGTTCAGAGCTCAGACAGAGCTAAAGAACAGAAGCGCAGAACTGTGTCTCTAAGCTAAGCGTCGCTTGGGTGGTCGAACCGCCTTCTCTGGTTTTTGTGTTCATCTCTCTCGATCTGTCATGTCGAATAGAACCTTTCGTTGTTCATGTGGGTTTGTCTCAAACATTCAAAGGGGGCCGCTCTCTCAGTTTTGAGACACACTCGTATTTTGTTGTAAGGAGTGTAATGCACAGACGAGTTAGTTTGCAGCTTGTTGCCATGTAGATCGGGGCCTTCAAGAGCTTTGCTGTAGCACCTGCAGGTTGTAGATGCTACACTCACTGGGGCACCGTGGCGTGCTCAGAGCTCTCGACAGGAAAGGATGTCTATCTTTGCTTCTGGGAGTCTGAGGCTTTTGGCTTCAAGGCCAAATCGAATCTTGTTTGGCTTACAGCCAACTGAGTCTGCCAAAGGCAGACGAACACCGGTACAAAGGTACGTCTAGTCGGCCCTTAGCCGAACGAGCAACGCGGTGTAGTCGGCAGCAATGTTTTGGCATCATGTTTGTTCGGAGATGATACCTTTGTGCAAACAAGCCCAAAGCAGGTTGACCCAGCGTGCGTTCTCGTGCATGCACATGATAGCTTAGTTGCTCAAAAGGGTGCCGCTGGATGCGGAGGGAGTTCTGTTTTCTTTGTCGTGCATGTTTACATCTCTTGACAGCAGAAATCCTGCACCACCTACCGAGTGCCTGCGCAAGGATCCGGCGACGCATGTCGCCCTGAACTGCGTCAGACTCTGTGGCCGTTCCATGAATTTTTGCATCAGGATCCACTCAAGCCGTTGGGCACAAGAAAGCTGGGCCAATGCCGACAGTTGGCACTCTGAAAGTCTGAAAGGCAAACCGTAGACAAGAAACCGTAGAACTTTTACATCAAGCCAATGCAACGTTGGACATTTGAGCTGGGTATAGAGCATATAGACCAAATCGAGGTCTTTGAAGGCACTGTCCCTGATCTTACCTTTATTCATCACTAAATTGCAGACATTGAATAGCCGCTACCGCTACCTGCCGGATGTCGCTGACCGCACATGCTTGGGAGCTGCGTGCGCCAGAGGAGGGCGATGGTGAAGCGAAGACTGCCCGTTGCCACGTCTCTTTACTGGTGGATGCGCCGCAACGATCCCCTGCGGATCTCTGTTTGGTCATCGATGTTAGTGGGTCGATGCAGATGCCTGCCGTGTTGAAGGCGAGGTGGGTGGGGTGAGGAGGAAAGGATGTGTCCCTCCAGGTGGTGGTCCAGAGTCCAGAGCTTACGAGGATGGGTCCAGAGCAAGTGTTTCTTTCTGTGAGTGATCTACTGAGGGACATATTACAGGAATCATATCACACACATGCTTGCTGCTTTGGGGTAGAAAGCAGAAGGACCTCAAAGTAGCTGTATACCAGTCTATATATCTATAACTATCCTATATAATCATTAGGTCTCTTGCAACAGATGTCTTGCAGACTACAGATGAGAGGAGTTTTGATCTGTTTTTGAAGGCTCTGACAGGTTATCTTTCAGCACGTGGGGACTCAAAATAGGGTGCAGCAGAATTGGAAACATTAGGGGCGAGCTTTGTGAAACTTTGTGATCATGTAGTTCTGATTCTGACAGGACCAGGAATCAGCCGTTCTCAGCATTCTGGACATTGCTTCTTGGAATTGCCTGTACTGTACAAGGAACGTGATGGAAAGGGAACCATAGGGAACCTACTTGCGATGGCCTCCAAATAGTTTTTCTTCTTTGCAGCTTTGTTCTTGGATTGCAAAGTTGGCTTCTTCGGGGCGCGATCTCCGAGACGAAACTCCCAGATCTCAGGTGAGCCACAGCTGCCGGACAGTTCTCCAGAGCTTGTCACCCGATGACCGGCTGGCCATCGTGACCTACTCTGACCAAGCACAGGTGAGGGGCTGTTGGGGGGAGGAGCTCCAGTTGCAAGGAGGCCGTGACTGGTATACACTCCATGAAGGGTTTAAACGTGCATGTTGGACAAGGGCATGGTGTTCCATGTCACTCCTGGAAAGCGGGTTCATCACTCCTTCCAGCGCGCTTTCTGGAAAAAAAAGAAGAAGAAGAAGCTGCGAAGCTCGCCTTCTTTTTGAAATAAAAACAACAGGGGCCAGGCTTTTGCAAGGCCTGTTTCTTTTGTTCGGGTGGACGAAGCCTCTGGCTCTCCAGGCACCGTTTCCGCACTGGGACCTGAGGGACCTGAGGGACGGTGAAGCTGGGGTCGCTCACCGTTGTAGCATTCGATCCTGTACATATATGTATATACCGTATACAGTATGAAAAAAACTATATATATATGTATATGTAAATACATAATACGTACATATACTGGTATACTGTACATGACCTGGCAATCACCACAAGATCTTGGGGCAGAAGCTCAGGAGCCATCCCCTTCGTTCCTTCTTCGGGTTCGCCCGTCCGAACCTGGTGAGGTTGTCCTGCCACTGACGTGCATGGACGCACAGGGTCAAGGGGAGGCCGAAGCAGCGGTGCAGAAGCTGAGGGCCGATGGGCAGACGAACCTGTGGCAAGGCCAGGGATGGGGGTCGCACCAGCCCCAAAATCCCGGTAGAGCTCTCTGTAGTCTTTCCAAACTTTTGCCTGGTTTGTGATTTTTGATGTCCGGCTTAGGAAGGATAATTTCAGTTTAGACCACCGTGGCCCGAAATCATGGAACTGTCCCTGCTGCCAATTGCGGTAGCTGCGTTTTGGGGCCCGTGTTCTGCCTGCTGATGTGTTTTCTTTCCTGTCCTCGTCCAAGTAAAACCCTCAATGCCACCAAGTGGTAAAGATCGGTTCCTCGTGTCATTGGGATTTGTTTCAGTGCCTCACTCCGAACGGAACCTCAAAATCTTCCTGGTTTTGGTCCGAACAAGTCTCAGTTTGTTTCCTGTTAATTGTACATGCTTCCGCTGCACATGATATTGCTGATCAAAAAGCCAATGCATTCCAGAGTATTCCAATGACCCAAATCGCCTCCAAAGTGCCTTTGCGGTCTTGTTTGCATCGCCATGATTCTTGGATTCAGCATGGGCACTTAGAGGAGTGGTTTCTTGAAGCTATTGTACGGAAAAAAACTTCTTTAGTGAATTAGACATGGCATTGCAAGAGGGATTGTGGAGTTTTTGCAAGGACATTGTCCAAGAGAGCTTTTTCCTTGTGAGGTGCATGTGATTAGGAAAAATCATCACGGGAAGGTTTACAGGCAGGGGTTCCTTGATTTGAACATATAAGGCTGCAGGAGCAGTGTAAAAGAGATGGAGGGAATCTTTCGGAGTACTGACCCTTTTTTGTTGTAAAGGCAGCAAGTGCACGTGATTTCGACCTGAAATGAGTGCTTGAAGACCAAATTGATCATATCTATGCATATTATGTATTTTTCTGTGTGTATGTATATATCTATGCATATTTTTTCCCCTCTGAACAAAATTCAACTCTGTCTGTGCAAGGAACACAGTGTTTAGAAGCCATGGTAAAACTCAAATTAAATGCAAAGCAAGGGCCTTGACCAAATAGGGACTCTCTTACTCAGACAGTACCACTGAAACCTTTGAGACCAGCTTCCTTCCCTTTACACTCATAGCATAAGCATCTATCTTATCATGAAAGCCAGCCAGTAAAGGGGGTGTGGGGGGGTGGTCGCACACGATGCAAGTGATGTGATTGACGGCCAGTAGTGCATGATTAGCACCATGAGGGGCTCAGGAGACAATGTAAACCGTCTTCTACCAGGGGTGGGAGTTTATGATGACGATAGGAAAGAGGGGACAACGGGATGCGAGAAGTCGTTGGAACTCCTCCAGGAAAATGAGATGTGCGTCTGGTGGCCATTGAAATAGTGTTCGACTAGGCGTGAAAGGGAGGTGTGCGTGTCTCTTAAGACATTGTGTGATCTGTGAGGGCAGGAAAGGGAATAGAATGCTGTGGGGACGGTGGAAGACAAGCATAGTGGAGGAGGATGGGTCGGAAAAGAGGGTTTACAAGAAATCTGGACGTTGCTTGGGGGTGCCCTTTTTGAGTGGTAAAGATTCTTGTCAACCACGCAAAAGAGCATCCCATATATGGGGTGCGAGTTCATGTACTGAGGGGCAGGAAAGAGAAAAGAATGCAGTGGGCAAGCTTTGAATTGCGTGGGGGTGCCGTTTTAAAGCGTGAAGAGGCCTGTATAGTTGCCGGACCCAAAAGGGCACCCCACATGGGGTGGGAGTTCATGTGGATGAGACAGGCACAGCGGAGGAGGAATATCTTCTACCAGGGGTGGGAGTTTATGTCGACGATAGGAAAGAGGGAACAACAAGACGCGAAAAGCGGTTGGGCCCCCCACAGCCATCTTTGCTCACTGTTTGGCAACACGCAGCAGGCAAGTGCCCCTCAGTTCCTTAGGGGTGCCCTTATTCAGCTTGAAAACGCCCTTGAGCCGGGAGTAAAAAGGGCACCCCCCCAAAACTATGTATTCTGCTTTCTATTTCTACCCCTGTCGGGGTGGCTGCAATGTCGATTTCACCCCATAGCAAAGGTACTCTTTGCCCGATGTTAGCCAATCACTTGATCTTGCACGCCAAGTCTTTGAGTTCCAGTGCGCTCTCGATTTCACCCCCCATTGTCACATTGATGTCTTCTTTTGGAGGCTGGTATCTTGAACAGAGACCATCAGGGACGAATGGCCGGGAATGTGATATGCCACATTGGCTTTGTTCAAACAGCACCTGTAACAACTGAGAACGGTGGACCGGTCCACCGGTCACAGTTCACACCACCGGCGGGGTTCCCATCTCTCGCCGTCCTTTGTTCGCAAAGAAGAGGCCAAAGACTCATGGCCACCGCGTTTTTCCACGAGGCCTTGAGACGGCCTTGGAGCTTTTTCGAACCGCGCCGGACCATGGTCCGGCACGGCGCGCTGCTGTTCCGGCAGCGCTGGTGCTCACGGATGGAGTGCCCAATGTGGAGCCCAGCGGGGGACATTTGCAAGCGCTGCGGAACTACCGAGACGCTTGGAAAAGTGAAGGGGAGTTCCTATGTGGGGTCTTTTCTTGGGAAGGAATTTTCAGACCTAATAGTTTTGCCCTAGCTGCTTAGTTGTAGCCTTTAATTTTGTTGACTGTAGCTGCCTATAATGTGTCCTGCTTGGGCGCTTTTCGGGCCCGTATAGAAGTGCGTGCAGTGTCAGACACAACAAGCAAAATGTGACAAAATCGTTTACCGCATGCACATTGACATCTCTTAGAGACAGGGCCTGATACCGTTTGGCCGTCGTGTGCGCAAGCTAGCTTCACGGCAGAGCTTGGAGTCACCAAGTTCACAACTCTGTCCGGAGACCTAGTACTCACAGCAGTTTGAATGACAGGGTGTTGGCAGCAGAGCTGGGAAAGAGAGCTTGGTCCTGATCCTTTTGCAGGTTCGATTCTCAGCTCACGCATGCGCTTGACATGAGCATTTCAAAGTCTTTTTGACACTTTGCTAGCTTCTGAATCTGCAGCAACGTGTTCCAAATGCTGTTCGACGGCTGCGTTTTTTTCCTATTGATGCCGGTGAAAAAACCGGTTTTGAAAGACAATGATCAGACAATCATGATTGTGCGCAAGCGGCGACCACAGATTGCCCACCTCAATGCACCAAAAGCTCGGTCGGCGTATGCCTTGTATGTCAGTGCGGCCTATGCAGGCATGCGAGCACAGTGCCAGGATAGACAGTCGACCATAGCAGCCATTGCGGAGTCATGGAGAAACCTTCCAGAAGACAAAAAAACAGTCTATCAGCAACAGGCTGCACAGGAAGTTGAAACGAGGCGTGTAGCGATCCAGAGAAGTTTGGATGAAGTGCTTGAAGCTGATGGGATGGATGCTGACCGGATGGAGGAGACGGTAGGATCCTTCGTGCTACTTGCACTGGACCACCGCCTGGGTATGGGGAGTGGGACTTACACAAAGACTTACACTTGCAGGCGCAAGAGGACACATGTCGCGGCGATTGCCAAGCGGTTGCATGAAGAACAGTACTACAAAAAGGAGCTTGGCATTTGCACAGAGATGCAAGAGTTTGATTTGCAGGGCCTTTTCTTCAACCACCTCTATGAGCATTCAGACAGTCAAAGGATCTTGGTCCTGGACCAGACTTGCTTGCTGACTGTCAAGGCATACACCGTCTTGCGTGGAGGGCTGAGTGGGCAGAAGTTGGCGCCGGTTGTCGGCGCAGGGTGCTCATGCGCTTGACTTTCTCCATGCATCAATCGGCTACCATGGGGATGTCAAAACAAGTTGCTTGCTTTACAACCCTGAGACTGCCATCGTCAAGCTTATCACTTTCCATTTGGCTCAGCGGGCTTCAGCTGATCCTGTGAAGGTTCAGAGTGATGTGTATACCAGGTGCAACCGACCTCCTGAACTGTGGAAAGGCTTGGTTTCCAGTCAGCCAGCACTTTACCCGAGCAGTGAGACATGGCCCTATGCTTTGATGGTTTACGAGGCAGCAACTGGGACACCGTTGTTCTTGTCCTATGACAATATAAAGGAGTATTGCGACAAGGGCGCGACAAGGGTTTCCTAAAAAGTTCTGCCAGGAATCCAGCAACCACTCCGTTCAAGCGACTTGCACAGACCACGTTGACTTGCCAAAATGTTGCCCTGGCTGGCTCTCATGTGAAAGATTCAGATTCACGCTACCCTTGAGTTTATAGAGATGTGCGCGTACGTTTACACTCGTTTGTGGTGGTCATCGGGTTCGCTTCGGCCTTCGCTCGTTGAGAATGTTTTTGACGCTCGTTGCCGGTGAACCTCGGAGGTGGCTTCAGCAATCCAATCGTTGCACCGTCTTCCCAGCGAGAAGGTGCGACCAGAAGTTGCCTTGAAACATGTGTTTCTCGGTGTGTTTTTGCTATGCAGTATGGCAGGCTTTGTGGAACACAGTTCTCAGCTTGGCCAGAGAGGTGCCCACTGCGGACGGGCAGTGCTGCACCGAAGAGTTTTTGCGTTGTCCAGGGTGTCAGGGTGTTTGATGGACTGACATGCTACCTTTGATTCTGTGCGTTTTCCTCTCGAGCGACATGCGCGGCGGTGAACTGTGGCGCCTCGACTTTGGCCTGCTTCTGAGCCCGGGGCCATGCTGGTGTTCCTATGTGGTTGACTCATCCATCTGTTTACTTCCAAGTTCACACTGGGGACCATACAACTGCATGTTTTCCTCACCTGGCAGGTGAGGGTTGTTAAATAGATTTTAGCAGAGTTTTTCTCCTCCTTCTCCTCCTCCTCCTCGTCCTCCTTTTCCTTCTCCTTTGCCTTCCCCGCCTCGCCGCTGCAACTGCAAGTGCCAGAGCGCAGTCGGCGTGATCAGACTTGAGCAGCAAGCGCCCGAACGCTGTGGGCGGATCACAGTGGGCGCACACAGACCTCAACCGCGAGCTCCGGGGCACCATGGGCACACCCGCGCCACACAACCGCAAGCTCCGGATCGCAGTGGGCGAATCCGGGCTTCAACCAATGCCAAGAGCCCCAGATCACTGTGGGCGCACCCGGGCCTGCACCGCGAGCTCCGGAGCACTGCCGGGCCTCAACCGCGAGCTCAGGAGCACAGTGGGCACTGCCGGGCCTCCACCGCGAGCTCCGAGTGCGCATCCCAA